GCTGCCATTCTGCTGCGAAGGGCCATGTTGAAGGGCTGCTACTGTTCTGCATAAAGCAAATAAACCAGAGAGAAATCCTTTAGCAGAGACCCAAACAGGACAGCAGACGACTGATGAGAACAGGAACAGGAAGGAAACAGAGAGATCAGCTGATAGGATCCAAAAAGATGTTCCAGCCGCTCACAGAAACATTGATGCAGCTTTCATGGGAGAAAAAAAAAAAAAACTTTAAGTTAATCGTGGTAATAACTACATTGTCTAAGTTAGCTGCTGCCAACTGACTGAACAAGATTCTGATATTTTAAAGCTGATTCTTTTTCTTTTGCTTTAATTAAAACAGTTAAATAAATAAATCTAATAAATAAAATTAATAAAAACACGGAAAATTAAAGTGAGAGCATCAGGAACCAATCAGAGAGCGACTGACCATGGTCTGCAGCCGAAGAGGCGAGCTGCATGTCAGCCGGAGACCGCTGGGTGGCAGCAGCGAGACGCTCCGCACCAAATCAGACGAAGAAGAAGAAGAAGAGCTGGCGGGCAATAGGATGTAAACAGGAAGAAGAAGAACTGGACCAAAACATGAAAACATCTCTGGTTCTGTTTAGGTTTTATGTTTTTACGGGTTTAGAAAAAGGGATGAAAGGAATCATGCTGGAGGTTGATCCATAAAACCGGAACCGGAAAAGGTCAGAACAAACGTAACAATCAGGTTCTGCTCCAATTCTAACATATAACTGTTTTTATTCTTTATGCAAAAAATGGATCAGATCCAAACTTCTGATCAGAAGAGGATGATATGTTTCTAGTTTTATTAGTTCCGTTTATTTTAGTGCTAATTAATATTTAGGAGCAGAGAGTCAATCAGATCAGATGCTGGATGAAAAAAAGGAAATCAGTTTAAATTAGAATTAAAACTATTTACGTTTTTTCATAAATCTAAATGAGAGTTCAGATGGTTCTAATGTAGATTAGGCTGCATGAAAAATAATGGAGAGATGAAAGTTTTCTGGGTATTTCTGCACCTAGAGGGGATGGTGGCCTAATGGTCAGGGCATAGAGCTAGAAATCCTGAGGTTGTGAGTTTGAAACCCACTGCCACTCTGCTTCCCTGAGCAAAGACCCTTAACCCCACACTGCTGCCGCACAATGGCAGCCCACTGGGTTAAATGCAGAGGGAAATTTCTCAATAAAGTTCATCCATCTATTTTCTGTCCTGCTTTTCCCAAGTGGGGTCATGGCGCTGAGCATGGTGCTGGTTCCTATCTCCAGCTGTCTACTGGCAACCATCGCAGGGAAACACAGAGACAAACAGGACAAACAACCACTCACTCACACCTAAGGAGAATTTAGAGAAGCCAATTAACCTAACAGACTGTGGCAGGAAGCTGGAGTACCTGGAGAAAACCCACACATTTCAAAGGGAGAACATGCAAACATGCAGAAAGACCCCTTAGCATCTTCCTAACCCCCCATAAGGCACCTCTTCTCTCACTAATCAGAGAATAGCACTACTTTAACATCGTTTTACTCAATTATAATTAAAAAACTGTTTGTTTGAAAGGCTAATTGAGTACCGAGTAACCGTTGGATAATAACATCAGATTGAATGTTTATAAATGATGCTGGCAAACAGACTTTATGTGCAAGTTCTGGCATTTTATAGACTCAAAAGTCCAAAGAATAGAAATAAATGTCATGAATATGAAAGAACAATTTTGTGCAGAAGAAATACTTTTACCAATATTATATTCAACATAAAACTTAGAAAACAAATCCTTCCAGTGAGAACTCTATATGTGTTACGACAGGATAACAAACCTCCACTGGTAATATCTACTGTATGTTTAACTGACTTTGGAATAGTTGAAATTACTCCCAGATGAACGTAGTCAGAGATTTTACTCAAGTAGTACTAGCGATACTTTACAAGAGTATTACTCAAATAAAAGTACGGCAGAGTCAAACCCACTCCTAAAAGTACTTTTTTTTCAAATTGTTACTCAAGTAAAGGTAACTAATCACATGTGGTCTGGGTCCCAGAACCGGACCGCTCTGCTGCTGCCGGTCACTGAATCTCTGTTTCTTTGCTTTGTCAGGGTCCAAATTCAAGTCCTGGTTCTGACCTTTGACCCCGGGCGGAGATGGCGGGCCGTGGGCGCGGCCGCCGGACTTTTGGTTTCATGGCGGACTCGGTGGGGGTCAGCAGAGGAGATGCTTTATCTGCGGCTGTGCAGCAGCCCACACCTGTGTTCCCTGTAAGCTCCGCCCCTTTCTGGGAGATGTTCTGTAAGAAGTGAACTATTGGTCGTTTCTCAATAACGAAATCAAATGAACATTTTGCCAAAAAAAGCAAAAAAAAAAACTCCATC